AAAGAGAGAAACTGTGTAACCACCAGACTCAGAACCAATCTCTTTGACTTCAGAAAGCTGAGAAACAAACACATGAATCACATTTGCATCCAAATCTTTAACAATCGATCTCAAATTTCTCATTGCAGCCTTGTGGGAATCAGGATCTTTGTCAAGATTAGCCAACTCTTGTCTAAATGCCGAACCAAGATTTCTCCCCATTTTTTCCTCTGAAAAACAAAGAGCCACAATGGTGATTCAGTAAGCTAGACAATAAATGTCAAGAACAAAACAGAATCGGATCGGATATATTTGTGTATCCTAATAACATTTTCATAATGAGTATACTCAATGATTCTAAACCATATCCGAATAAGGAAAAACAAATCAATCAACACCAATTTTCATATGAGAAATATACCAAAATCAATACTCAATTCCAAAAAAAAAAAAAAAAAACAAATTTCTTTGATTAACCAAAATGAAAACGCCATTCTCCGGATGAATAACGAAATTCCGCAGAAAATTGATAAAATCGATTACTTAAACTTCCCAAAAACTGATCTTTTAAACAGAAAATGAACATCTTGATCTGTGAACACAAATATCATCGAACACGAAAAGGGTCTTTTTTGAAATTCGAATCATAAACGAATTGAATTGGATATATAACCCTAATCGAAAAAAACAGAGTTTCGAATACTGAGAAAGTAAAGTTGATGAATAGCGAAGTAACGAAGAGTACCAGTGTCTGATATAGCGAAGATTGACCCAACAAAATTACAGTAGCAATTCTTCTTTCCCACAAAAATTCAAGAAAACCCAAGAATCTGAGAGTCCTCAGATACCAATAGAGAAGTCGCTCTTCTTCTCTTTTTACAATACGACGCGAAGAAGAAAACCAGAGAAAAAGGATTCAACTTTATTTTTGAATGTTGAGAGTTTGGTGAGATGGGCGGGTTTAGGGTAAGTCTCCGTAATTTTTGGGTCTAAAGCAAATCTACCCCTTATTTATTTGTATTTGTCGAAATGGTACCAACATTTAAATTTCAACCAAGTAGAACCTTGGTGTTACTTCTTTAAGTAGAATCAGTTCAGTTAGTACAAATGGTTTGTAGAAACTGATTTATTTAAGCGACTGCTTATTAGTAATTTGATAGATGGTTTTGATTACCTTCTTAATTCTATGAACTTTTTGAAATTAATTTTGTGGGTCAGTCTCATAGTTGATTAAATATATTTGTCTTTAAATTAAAAAATGTTTGACTTATAGAATCCCACTTGATAAAATTTCCTATTATTGTCCATTGTCCAGATAAAATTTGAATGATTTTAATGGAAAATAGTAGCTAAATTGCATTAAATTTGAATATTCTTACTATCAAACGAATTTTATTTCCCTATTTCCATTCCTCAGTTTTGGTCCAAATCCAGTGTCTTGATTTCAAGTAAAGAAATAAGAATTTGACTAGAATTATCATTTCAAATGCAATCAATTTACAAAATATTCTATTATAAGATATTTAACAACATTGACAAAAATAAAATAAATTAGAAATTAACAAATTTCGGGCTAGGGCCCAACAGTATAGGAGGGGTAAAAGCAAACACAGGCCCATTTTACCACAGAATTCAGAAGACCCATTATTTTTTCCTCAATCACAAGGAGATTTATGGGGAGTCTGCGGAAAAGTGTTTGGTCCTATGTTTGTGGCAATGCAGCAAGGATGTGGTCCGTTCGAAAATCCTAATTTATCTTGAACCTTTGTGTGATATAGAAATAAAATTATGTTCTTATTCAAACACTATCCACGAAATGACATCATGTCACAAAACTAAACTAGCATTTGAACCGTGCAAGTCCTCCCTTAGGCTTTATGTAGTAGGAACTTAGATGAGGGAGCATCATGTCATCTTGAAGATTAATTTATCTAAGAAATATAATAATTTGGAGATTTTTACCCCAAAATAAAGAAAATGGGAATTGATAGATAGTTGTGGGTGATTTTTACATAGACATGTACAGTTGTGGGTTCTTCTCGTAATTAGTTAAATTATATATTTTTCCTCTCAATTATCTTTAAATTTTACGAAAATATATTTTATAAAATTCTGGTTAGTTAAATTTCCGTGTATTGTCTATCATCCAGATAAAATTTGACCAATTTTTATGGAAACTAGTAGTCAAATTGCATTAAATCTGTATATTCTTACTCTCAAATGAATTTTATTTCCATATTTTCATTCCCCAAAATTTTGGTCTAAATCAAAAATGTCTTGGTTTCAATTTGGGAATAAAATATTTGACTGTCGTCAAAAAAAGAAAGAAAAATATTTGACTATAATAATCATTCCACATAGCAAATACAATCAATTGGCAAAACAGTAAAACTTTGTCAGCAAAAATATAATCGGTTAAAAAAGATTTAAACCTGTAATTCAAGCTTAAATTATAATGTTACAAAGAAAATTGTAGGCCTGAGATTATTATCCGGTATCCGCGGATATCCGTATCCGTATCCATTTTTTATCCGAAAAACGGATATCCGGAAAAACGGATACGGATAATAAAATAACGGATATTCCGGATACGGATACGGATACGGATAATGTTAATTTTAAAAACGGATAACGGATATCCGGTTATTTTGTATTTTTATATGAAATACGGTATTTTTATACGAAAATATGGTATTTTTATACGAAAATACAGTATTTTTATATGAAAAAATGATTTTTTTTTTTTGCATGTCTACGGATATTCGGATATCCGGAATTCCGGATCCGGATACGGATACCAAATTGGCGGATAATACAGATACGGATACAGATACGGATATCCTAAAAAAACCGGATATCCGCTCCGTTTACAGCCCTAGAAAATTGTATTGTCTAAAAGGTTATATATATATATATATATATATGTATGATTTAAAAGAAAAAGAAAAAAAAAAAAGAAAGATAAAGTTCCCCAATTCATAATGAAGAATACGTTTTAAAACGGAGAAATCAATGGGTCATAATCTATAAATATGAAGATATAAAGGGGGAAACTGTCAAGGAGCGGGTATGGATCAATTTGTAAAAATATAAAGTTAGGGGGCTGATTTGTAAAACAACATGAATGAACCTATAAAAAGCGGCCAATCCCAATTTCTCTTCTTCACTCCCATCACAATCACATCACTGGTAAGACTCATTGAATTCGAATCGTTATGGCTACACAGTCATCAATTTCGCAACCGCCGCTTCCTCTCGCCGGTAGAGTCGCCATTGTTACCGGCTCTTCCCGTGGTATTGGTCGAGCGATAGCGATCCACTTAGCTGAACTCGGTGCGAGGATTGTTATCAACTACACCTCTAAAGCCGCAGACGCCGAGCGTGTCGCGTCGGAGATCAATGATTTTCCGGTTAGGGAAGAAATCACTGGAAAGGGACCAAGAGCTATTGTGGTTCAGGCCAATGTCTCCGAGCCAAGTCAGGTGAAATCGATGTTTGATGCGGCGGAGCGTGCCTTTGAAGCGCCGGTTCACATTCTGGTTAACTCTGCTGGAATCCTCGATCCCAAGTACCCTACGATTGCAGACACATCAGTCGAAGATTTCGATCGCACCTTCAGGTACTACACTCGAGACTGTTCATTGATTTGGATTCTGGAAAAGTAAACAAATTTTCGTCAATTAGTTATGTTCATGTATGTTAATGTGACATGTTCTATGATTTTGAGTTAAAAGCTGATCCCTTTAGTATATTTCAATTGAGTTTTTTGTTGAATCTGTGTTCTTGATCACTCTCCATTGCTCCTACTTCACTGTTACATCTACACTTGGACATTCTCTAATCTCCATCTCTGTACTTGATTACTCTCCATGAGTCTTAATGTTATGTGTTCCATGTTCGTGAGATTTGTTTGTTTAGGTTGATCCATTGTTCTTGAGATTCTAATTTTTGAACTAAATTTGAAAAGGTTTCTCATTTGTGACTTTTAAATCTGTAGTTAATCACTCACTAATCTCCAATACTTATTTGTTTGTTTCTTTTTTAAATGGATGGTAGTGTCAATACAAAAGGAGCGTTTCTGTGTAGCAAGGAAGCTGCCAATAGGCTAAAACAAGGAGGTGGTGGTCGGATCATACTCGTGACATCTTCCACGACCCGATCCTTGAGACAGGGCTTTGGTGCCTATGCAGCATCAAAAACAGCTGTGGAAACTATGGTCAAGATTCTTGCAAAAGAGCTCAAAGGAACAGGAATCACTGCAAACTGTGTTGCTCCAGGACCCATCGCCACTGAGATGTTCTTTGATGGAAAGACCCCGGAGTTGGTGGAAAAGATAGCCGCAGAGTCCCCCTTTGGGAGGGTCGGTGAAGCCAGAGACGTGGTGCCTCTTGTTGGATTCTTGGCTGGTGATGGTGGTGAATGGGTGAATGGTCAAATCATTCCTGTTAATGGTGGATATGTGTAAAAGGTTTGGTCTTGAGAGGAGCCTCTTCCTGATATCTTGAGAAGCAAATGTAGGGGTTAAGTTGTTAAAAATAAAACATTGGGGTTCAGTTGGAATAATATAATAAACACTGAGGTTGAAAAATCAATGTCTTAAATCATCTAAGTGTAGTAAACACAGCCGTAATATCAAACACTCGTGACTCACCTACAGCTTCTATACGCCCAAAAATATAATACAAATTCAATTTTCTTTTTGTCGACATCCATTTTTTTTGTAGTCGTCGACATCCAACTTTTGGTATTTTTTAAAAAACCTTAATATATCCAATTCATTTCATTGACATACTCATGTCTTCGTACTGACACATTCATTGGAACCACTTTATGTTTTTCATCATTCAATTTATAATCACCCACCACTCGAATAATCTTTGGGATAAACGTCGTTTGTTGAAATACAACTACAGAATAAAAAAATGGTTAAGAATATGGCAAGTGCAACAAACAACACCTAAAAGTCTAAAAACAATATCCTTGAAGCATCTTTAAATCTTTTGAAAAATATCATCAATGTGTGACGAATAATCAACGCATGCTCTTGTATCCATAAACTTAAAAAGCCAATCGAAAGTATTGGATAATGAAAAAGAAAAAAGATGATAAAGGAATTTTCATTACACACACACACCTACCCAAATACTAAGTTTTTTATATAAACAGTATCCAACTCTCTTCTTTACCCTCAAACCCAAACACATAAAAATGAGTCAACACAACATCTTAGAAGCTCTAAATGTCCGGGTCGTGGGTACGGGTGATCGGATCCTGTTTCTAGCCCATGGATTCGGTACTGACCAATCAGCTTGGCACTTAATCCTTCCTTACTTCACCCAAAACTACAGAGTCGTCCTCTATGACCTAGTTTGCGCCGGCAGTGTCAATCCCGATTACTTCGATTTCAATCGTTACACAACTCTCGATCCTTACGTCGATGATCTTCTCAACATCGTTGATTCACTCGGAATCCAAAACTGTGCTTACGTTGGTCACTCTGTTTCCGCTATGATCGGAATCATAGCTTCGATTCGTCGGCCGGAGCTTTTCTCGAAGCTTATCTTGATCGGATTTTCACCTAGGTTTCTCAACGACGAGGATTATCACGGAGGATTCGAAGAAGGTGAAATCGAGAAGGTTTTCTCAGCTATGGAAGCTAATTACGAAGCTTGGGTTCATGGATTTGCTCCGCTTGCTGTTGGAGCTGATGTTCCGGCGGCTGTTAGAGAATTTAGCCGGACTTTGTTTAATATGCGTCCGGATATTTCTCTGTTTGTTTCGAGGACGGTGTTCAACAGCGATCTGAGAGGTGTGCTTGGGTTCGTTAGAGTTCCGACGTGTGTAATTCAGACGGCGAAGGATGTTTCGGTGCCGGCTTCGGTGGCGGAGTATCTTAGGTCTCATCTTGGTGGAGATACGACTGTGGAGACGCTTAAAACTGAAGGACATTTGCCGCATCTTAGTGCTCCGGCGCAGCTTGCTCAGTTTCTCCGGCGAGCTCTTCCTCGGTGACTCTTTTTTTTTTTTTTAATAAAGAGAAAATAAAATAAAAATAAACAATTGGAGGAATATGGGATTAGTGGGGTCCACGTAGCGAAGAAAAGAAGGGCCTCTATTTGTGGAGGACAGTTTGGCATTGTCACAAATCTAGTAATAAGATAAGATTGTTCACATGACACGTGACTATCGCATTTATATATCACTACTTCACTTTCTCTTGCTCTCTTGATTAGTTTAATTAATCACAAGTTTATTTTAAAGAATAATTGGCAGTGGTTTATTTTGGACAATAACAAACAACATTAAAAATCTTATCTTTTACTTTCCTCTGAATATTTCCATCCATATTGTTTTCTTGTAAGTTCTGGAGTCTGGACCTTGTATTGATAAATGATGTCTAACAACACATCGATGCAACAACAATCTTTAGCCACAACACTTTTGATTGTTTTGTTTCTTTAATTAAATGATGGAGACAATAAGATATAAAGTATACTAGAAAATTCTAGCATCACAGAAAAAGTATCAACAACTAAAATGAAGCAATTATGGCTGACATAATCTTGATTGAAGTTTGATACTGCATGTGTGTAAAATGAATAAATCTGGTTTATTGTATCACTGTTGTTACCGTACTATAATACAAGTTAAGATTTGAAAAAGTGAGTGTGTGAATTTTAGAAGACAATAACACAACGAAAATACGTCATATCAATCTGAACTTTTGAGCAATTCAAATTGCATACAAATTGACAGGTTAAGACAAATCTAACAAAAGTAAACATTTGAGCAATTCAAATTGCATACGAATTTGACAGATTATGACAAATCTAACCATCACCACTACAAATTAGCACGTTGTCATCATATCTACGCTAAATAAAGAAAAAAAACTAAATTCATAGTAAAAACTCCCTAACAGTATGGCTGCAGCGTCATCAGTTTCTTCTCCACCGCTTTGCCTCGCCGGTCGAGTCGCTATAGTCACCGGATCCTCTCGAGGAATAGGCCGTGCCATAGCCATCCACCTTGCCGAGCTTGGGGCTAGGATCGTCGTTAATTACTCCACTAGCCCCGTTGAGGCTGAGAAGGTTGCGACGGCGATTACATCCAACTATCCAAAGAACGACGCTTCGGAAGCCGCCGGAAATAGTCCACGTGTCATTGTGGTGAAGGCTGATATCTCGGAGCCGAGCCAGGTAAAGTTGCTTTTCGATGAGGCAGAGCGAGCCTTCGAGTCACCGGTTCATATCTTGGTTAACTCAGCCGCTATAGCCGATCCTAATCATTCCACTATCTCAGATATATCAGTAGAACTTTTTGACCGCATTATCAGGTTTTAATTTTTTTTCTTTTTCTTTTGTAACTCCATTTATTAATTTCGTAAATATTAATTTTTCTGTATCATCGGTGGATCTTTAGTTAATATTGTTTCATTTAATTATTTTGCAACTCTATAACGCGAATTTGATTAGGCAGGGCCGGCCCATGGGTAAAGCCCATGAATCAAGGGCTTTAGGCATCAAATAATTATAAGTAGTTTTAGGAGCATCAATTTTTAAAATGTTACTATGGTCTAGTGGTTAGATTGAAGTCTTTTGTTGTACAGGTCACGGTTTCGAATCTCATACATGTTAAAACTTGTTTTTTTTTTTATAACAACTTTTGTTAATGGGCCAAATTTTTTTTTGCTTTAGACACTCAAATAGTTTGGACCGGCCATGTGATTAGGTGTGTAGTGTAGTCATTTCTTAACGTGATTTTTTAATATTTTCGGTGATTTCGCGTTGTTAATAATCAGATTCGTTGTTTGATATAACAGTGTCAACACAAGAGGTGCGTTTCTTTGTGCTAGAGAAGCTGCGAACAGGCTAAAACGTGGAGGCGGTGGCCGGATAATTCTCCTCTCAACTTCACTGGTTCAATCCTTAAAACCATCCTATGGCTCATACACGGCTTCAAAGGCAGCCGTAGAAGCCATGGCCAAGATTCTTGCAAAAGAGCTCAAAGGAACAGAAATCACTGTAAATTGTGTTTCTCCCGGACCCGTCGCCACAGAGATGTTTTTTACAGGATTGAGCAATGAGATTGTAGAGAACGTGAAGTCACAGAACTTATTTGGTAGAATCGGTGAGACCAAAGACATCGCACCTGTAGTTGGGTTCTTAGCCAGTGATGCTGGCGAATGGATCAACGGTCAAGTCATCATTGCTGACGGTGGCTCTCTCTTGTAAAGAAAGAGAGTGGTTAGTCTTCTTATAAAATCAAAGCTTTCAAATTTCAAACGTTGGATTTGATCTGACGAAAAGAAACATCAATAATCCATGTATCAAATACAGTCAAATACAACCTCTGCTTTATGTGCTCTGTTCTTGGTGATAAGAATTACGGTTTGTACTCTGTTCTTATCACAACGTTACAACATCCCTATACTTTTAATTATCTATCATCTTATTCCTATTATATCTCTTTAATCCTTGATTGAAAAAAAGACGGAGGAATGTCAAAGTTAATTAGTCAGCAAGAAGTCAAACAAAAAGAAAAACGTATGTTTTGGATTTGATCCAATGGAAGAAAACCTTCAAATGATTGATGAACCCAAGAATAAATCAGTAATATACAACAAAACAAATACTATAATTAATCTCATTGTGCTATGAGAAGAAACACCAAGCCACTCATCACCAAACACAACCTAACCATCGAACCATAGCTATAATCATAATGACCAGCCGATGGCTCTCCAATCTGAATCGGGAAATTACATTCTCCTTGAGAAATATTTTGAGTAGTAATCGTTGCAAGCCCTTCAAAATCGCACGCCTGAGCTTCCTGATTTTGCACTTGGAAATACATATTAAACGCGTAAGATGCGTTTCCATTCGCATCAAGATTGCCACAAGAGGATCCGTAACCTAAAGCAGTACAGTCTGAATGAGAACACGCATAGTTTATGTTATCTCCAAGGCTACTCATATTACCACGACCATTAGGATTAAACATACACCACTGGTTCAGCAAGTACTGAACGTTTTGAGCTCCGGTTAAGAACTTTTTCTGACCTTGTCCCCTAAAATCTACCGGGAATTTCGGTTGGCCATCAAATTTGAATATCCCCCAATGACGTTCGAAATTCCCCGGGGCAACGCTTTTCACATCTTCATCGATAAATCCGAAAAGATAAACCTCAATGTAACCTTTACGCATAGGAGTTCCTACGTTGTTCGCCAACCGCGGAAGCAAACCGGAATAAAACCGTTCCGCATTTTGAACGTTTGCGTTCTTGTCACCATCCGTAGGCCAACCAACTTCTCCAACGATCACTTCCATGTTACCGTGATTCAACGCGTTTAAAGAAGCTAAAAGCGTGTCGAAATTAGCGTCGAAGACGTTTGTGTAGACAACGCCGTTGTCATTAACGGTGTTTTGGCCGTCAAAGAAAGCGTAATCGAAAGGAAAGTCACTGCTTAAGTAGAGACTGAGGAAAGGGTAAATGTTGACGGTGAAGGGAGCTTTGTTCTGTGCGAGGAAGTTAACGATTTGTGTCATTTCTTGGATAATGTCGGAACGGAATCTTCCGGCGGAGGGGACTTGATTGTCCGGAGGAGAATTGTAAACGTCGGCGTTTAAAGGAACGGTGGCTTTGGTGAAATCACCAACTCCAGCTTCGTTTAAAGCGGTTTGGATGTTGAAGAGTGCTGGATAAATTAGGTTTATGAATGATCCGTTGTACGCTGTCAAGAACGGCTCGTTCCCCACTGCAACATATCTGCAACAAAAAAAAATAAAGATTTCAGTTTATATTTATAATTTTAATTAAATCATAATTCCTAGTTAAAAATTTTCAAAGTAATTTATTCTTATGATTTATTTCGATAATTTCAAGATTTGTGCGTTTTGTGTAAAACAAATAATTGTTTATAATACATGCATGTATTTTGCGTCGGTATGATAAAAACCAACCTATGTTTGAAACTTCACAAGGTATCAGGGGCGGACCCACTTACAAGAAAGGTGGGTCACCTGACCTGGATAAACTAATCAAATATATTTTAGTGTATATAAACAACAAAAGTTCCAAAAGCATAGTTGGTATTTTCCAAGTTGTTGACACATCTAAACCCGGATTCAGTCATCCCAAATGACATATTTGGTCTTTTTTTTTTCCATTTTAACTTAAATGCATATCTTTTCGTCTTATATACTTTAAAAAATTAAAAAATAACAGCAGTTTATATACTCTTTTTTTATTTGCTTATGAAATTTTTTTTTTTAAATATTGACCCGGATAAAATTTATTTCTGTGTCCGCCATTGCAAGGTATCAACCTTTTTTTCAGAGAAGAAAAAATTTCACATGGTATCCAATATTTGCATATTTGCAATAAAGAGGAATTGAAAAAAGAAAGATTCAGACTTTTTTGTTTTCAGAACACGTTTGGATCATGCATGTGCAATAATTACTTGACACACACATGACGGTCCATACATGCAATATCCATAAACCAAATTCAAATAATTCAATTTCAGAAGTATGTATGCATTATATTATTCAACAAAAAAAAAACTAATACATATAGAGATAAATGAATGATGTGGTGCTCAACAAATAACAGGTTAACAACTGATCTAATTAAAGAAAAAGAAATTATTCACTTATAACTTATAGGTCGACCAATAATAGCATTATAAAAAAAAAGTATTTAGTTGTCCAACAAGTCAAAACTCAAAACCAACGTGTAAAGGATTGGAGCTCACCTCAGTTTGTCTAATCTGGTGGGCTCAGGACTATTATAGACCTCCTAATCCAATTATCATCATTTGTTTTCGACATTTTTATTTTCCATCATTTTGTCATCATTTTTATTTTCTTTGTTAGAACGAAATAAAATAATAATAAAACAAGTTCTAAAATAATCGTTCTGTAAAGTTCCAATATTCCAAAAGGGCCTAATATCTGATTTTCCCCTTTTGAGATCCCCCCAATATTAAGTAAGTCGTCCTAAGAAACTTCTTACCTTTATGTATAACTTATATTATCGTTAATCATGGTTATAAGTAAATAAAAATAAGAGTCCAATTCGAAAATAAAAATTAGTATGTTAACATCAAAATTTTCTTGCTTGAGAAATTATAATAGTCTTGTTTTGGCCATAATTCATATATTTTCTAAATTAAGAAAAGTATAATTTGGTTAAATAAAAATTCGTTTCAAACTTACTTGATCTTAACGCCGTTGTTAAAGTTGAACCTAGAGACGTTTCTTTGGACCCAATCTTTAGCTCTTTGATAGTTTCCCATGGCTTGGAGCAAATCATTAGGGATCGCCACCATCACTTCGACGCCGGAGCCGGCGAGAGCTCCCATCGTGTTTGTGTCGGCATCGAACAACTTCACTTTCTGTATATTGTTGTCTTTAAGCATTTCCACCACCGTCTTCGGAGGTAACTGATGAGTCGCCATTGTTCCCCAGTTTACTCCCAAACCAGAGACACCGCCGGAGAGAAAAAATAAGGCGTAGATGATGATAAAGACACCGGTGGAGTTAGTTATGGCACTCTGTTTCGGTCGATGATTCATTTTTGGTGATTCCTCTGTTTTCCCGGGAAAGTTTTGTGCTTGATGTTAGAAAATAAGAGATTTTGGATTGATTTTTGCTGATAAAGTTTTGAACTTTGAAGGAAGAATTTGTTGGGTTTTTCGAATGAGAAGAATTGGAAGAAGTGTAAGAGATATAAAAATAATTTTTGTGGGTTTTGTGTTATGTTGCAGCTCGATGATTTGAATAAAGAATGAAAATGATTTGTTTAAGCTGACAAAGAAAATCTGAGTAAGCGAAAGAAATTAAAGAAGGAAGAGGAGATCAAATAGGTAAGAGAGACTAGAAGGAATAAGAAGGAAACAGAGTCAAAACCGGCCTTTGAAACAGAAACCGACCATTAAAATATCTATAAAATACTGTATTTATTACAAAAATAGTAATTTGGTTAACATATACTACTATTTTATTATTAAGGCTATACTCTATAGTCTATACCATGCATGTATTGTTTATTTAGACCTAACCAACATAGTTGGCGAAGTGTTAGTAGTGGTTTGGTATGAGGATTAAAAAAAAAAACATAATTCTATTTCAAGTATGAAATTTATATCTTTTGCACAATACTTCAAGTTTTTGATTCTATATTGTGGAAGTTCACACGTACGAATAGAGAAACATTAAAATTGCAGGTTACTTTCGCTTTCATAAGTTTAGTAGGTCTCAATAGAAAACGTTGATTATTTTTTTCACGATCGAGTACGTACAAACGTACTTAGGAGAAGTAACCCCGATGGTGCATGTACGTAATTTAAATTCCAATTAAATATCAGAAACATCCAAATACTAGACATGACGATAGATATTCTTGATTTGATAGCACACTAATTAAACACGAATTAACACATCTATAAAAAAGCATATAATTAGTCCCGGTTGGTCGATCATTAGATATTATAAAAAGCTGATTATATCAGCCAGAAAAATCATAGAACGAAAATTCGAAATTTACTAATTATTATATAATAAACTTATAAAATATCAATGGAGTTTGGGAGTCGACATGAAAAACAAAAAATATCACGTACGTGGTTAGAGGACATTCAGTGGACAATTATGATCATGTTGAATTTTTTTGGGTCAACAATCATATCGCTTAGCTGTGATTTTCGTTAATGGGCCTTATTTTCTGAGAACCATTGGGTATTAAAGCACTAATGGGCCCTTGGAGCTGTTTTTTAAAATACCGTTACCTTCTTCTTCCTTCGGTCGCCGAATATCGTTTGTCATTGAAGAGCGATCAAAGAGGCAATTCGTCTAACACTTGGTGAGCATAGAGCGCAATGAAAGGAAGCAAGGCGAATCTCTCTGCACTAGCGGAGAAATGCAAAGTACCTACTCTTATCTCTATCTATTTTCCTGAAAGTGAATCTCTTTCTTTGTTTTGCTTGAAAATTTTCGGCTAATTTCTTCTCTCTCTGCAGACTGTAATCGTTTCGAACTGGCAAGGGTACCTAAATACCGTCAAACCTGAAGATAAAGCTAGGTAATTCCTTATTTATTTAGGATATAAGTTTGTTTATCTTTGGGTTTATTCATTCTCGATCATGGGATTCTGCAAAATTGTATATTGAATTTGAGTGTTTTTTGGCTGTTTTGCTTAGTATAATACATACTTCAAAGATTAAGTATGTGATGAGAAGAGGAAAGCCCTATCTCTGGGTACCAGAAAGTGAACCGCACAATGTTGTAAGCTTTCGTTCTTCTTTTTGTTACTTTGTTTTGAATGGTAAGCTTATAATGCTGAATAGAAGGGTTTTAAAAGCTAAGTTTTGAATCTCTAATTTTTGGCAGAACATAATGTTTGATGAACGTGGATCCTTTTC